ATAAATATTTGTTCTTTTAACATTATAAAATTATTTTGATGCATTATATAAAATTACAATTTTCTATAAAAAAAATATTATGCAATGTATTAATCGTACGTATATATAATTAGGAAATATTAGGAAATATTAGGATAATGATATTTTATTGTATATCCTCTTATTTGTTTACTATATAAATAACATACGTATATATCAATATATATATATGTGTGAACAAAAAAATTGTTAATAATAATACTTAATTGAAATTAATCAAAGCTTATTTTACATATAATGAGTATTATGATCTATATTATGATCCTGGAAATCGATTATTAAATGGCAATAATATTTTTATTGTCTCGGGAACATAGGTTATCACAAAGTTTTTAATGATCTCTACTTCGAATATACTCATTCTTCATGATGTTCTGCAAAATTTTCCATACTTTTATCAGCAACCATTGTTATTATATTTGAAGTAAGAAGATTTCTTGAGCTGTTCTTGGATTCTGGCGAAAGTTTATGCAAGAATAGAGTGTGTGTGTGTGTGTGTGTGTGTGTGCGTGTGTGTGCGTGTGTGTGCGTGCGTGTGCGTGTGTGTGCGTGTGCGTGCGTGTGCGTGTGCGTGCGTGTGCGTGCGTGTGCGTGTGGTGCGTGTGTGTGCGTGTGCGTGTGCGTGCGTGTGCGTGCGTGTGCGTGTGCGTGCGTGTGCGTGTGCGTGCGTGTGCGTGCGTGTGCGTGCGTGCGCGCGCGCGTGTGTGTGTGTATGTGTGTGTGTGTGTGTGTGTGTGTGTGTGTTGTGTGAGTATGTATTTTCTGTCGAATATGTAACAAACATGTTAATGTACAGTAACTACTAAATGATAAAATTGTCAGCAACAAAATACATCATAGTCTAAGATATCAACATGTACAATAGTGGAAAGCAACCATAACTGATAATAGCGCACTTAATCAGTAAACATTTTTCGGTAATAATTAAAACAATTGACACACCGTGAATTATTATACTGAAAGAAATTCTTTTGTGTTATTGCATAATATGAGAATATAATCTTTTAAACTGAATAATAACACAATTGTAATAAATAAATTTATTGTTAAAAATAGTATTTATCTAAAAAAATTTTTGAAAATTTTTGCTATAATAGATTTTTATAATTAATTTTAAGTAACTTGGTACATATTATGTATTATATTACGTAAGTCTTACAATTTGATTACTTCCAAGAAGAAAATATACTTGAATTAATGATATTTTATATAAAATTATTATTTATATGATATTTTATATAAAAATTGAAATTAAATTTATATATAAACAGCTTTAAGTAAATATTTCGGAATACTTTGTTAAAATAAATTTTAAAAGTATATTATAATTATATATACAATGCACATAATAATTCTATATGTTTTAAAGATTGATGAAAAATAAAATTGTAATAAGTATTGTAATAAGTATAACATACACTGAATTAAAATAATATTATTTAAAACCTTAATCTTTTGCATAATTTTTATATTTAACAATATCTATAAAAATTATCAAAAAATAAAAGAAATTATTCTTAATTCATAAAATTTATTTTTACTATTATTTATTTTACAGATTTGCGTCGTTTTTGGGGTCTGCGTGAAAATTTTTATCAATTCTTTTTGACAGTTATTACGATTTATATTACACAAGATATATATATATAAGAAAAATCAAGGCAGTACACCATGGCTCATTTTGGCCGAATTACGCCGATCCGGATCGAAAAGTGGACACTGCAACGCGTCTCAATTCCAGATTGCTCGTCCGTGAGCTCTTTGGAAGAAGATTCCAGATCAACTGAATCCGAGGATATGTCTATCAGTCCAGATACGTCCTGCCACTCAAGCGCGGACACGGACAAGAATTTTGATCTCGATAAGGATTTTCGCGAAAAACTAAAATATGAAGACATAATCGAAAAGATCGAAAATTTGCGGCTTGCGCGCAACAAAGATGCCAATGAGAACGTCGGCAGAACGCGCCAAATCAGCAACGAAAACGTGGATAACCTGGAGTATCGAAACAACTGCAAATCAGGATATACTGATAATGAGGATATAAACAATAACGAGGATAACATTACGAGTGATGACAATAAAGGCTACTTGCCGCTTAACATATGCGACGACAAGAAACGATGCCATCCTTTGTACGATGGGAATTCCCTGGACGACGATTCGGAGTCCGAACAGGCGAGACAGCAGGAGCAGGATGATTCTGACGATTCCGATCTAATTCAACGGGGACCAGTCAAGCCCAATTTTCAATCCCCTCGAGCATTATCCTATCCTTACTCCATGATGACCTGGCTACAAATGACGCGTGCAAACGACGGCACAGATGCCGCCTACGCGGTAGACTACGACAAAACTGCCGAGCAAATCTTAAGGAACAAGGATTACAGCGAGAAACTGAATCCTTGCTTAGATCAGTTATCGGATTCGAGTCGAAATCAGACGTTGATCGGAGCGATGAATTTGGGGATGGAACCCAATTGGATCGAAGAGAATAACAAAGATATTTTCCGTAACGGAGACTCTAACAATGATGTAAGTTTTGTTAAATTACGTTTTATACCAATGATAATGTTCTTATAAAATTATACATTATTTTTTTTTAAATTGTATCGCACATTAAATGTGGCGACTTAATTGAAACGCATTTTTGTAGATAGATTTGCACAAAAGTTGCACTAAAGAGAGTATAAAAAAAAGATATTTTTAGTATATCAATCTACTTTTTATATATTAATAATAAACATTTGACGGCAATTATAATGTATATAAAATACTATTTTAATGCACTGAATATTTCAAACAGTCGAAAAATAATTAGGCATACTATTTTAATTTCCTCGGTTCATCTGCACGAGAAAAAAACTTTTAATTCTATTTCATTAAAAAAAAATTTATTAAATTTCAATAAATATTTGTTTCAATAATACTAACGAAATATTTACTTAATGTAAACATATTTATTTGATTTAAGCATAACTTTTTTATTTTGAGTAAATACTTATTTGAAAGTGCATTTCATTGCACATGATGAATAAAGGAAATTAATTAAAAATTATAAATGATTTTGCCTATACATATATTGATTATTATATTACAAAATTATTTTAATTATAATGTATAATAATTACTTTAATATAATTATATGTTATATAATTATTCCTCGATAAAAAAAAATTTGAAATGAGTGTCGATGACCAAAACTATTAGCGTTAATGACGCAAAAGAGTTCTCCCGCTTTATAAAAACCGATTTAATCGTATTTCAGACCGCGGCACTTCCCTCCATAGTTGTCGACGATCCGGGAGAAGAGTCCTTGATGGACATCCTGTCGCATGGCGGTTTTCAAGCCGCATTGCTCTCAGATGCCGGCAGTCACTCGATTCCTTCGCCAGGCGCGAAAACCTGGTCCGATTCTCCAGCGAGTAGCTACAACTACGTCGTCTCGAGGTCGAACAGTCGGGCGTCGAGTCGCGCCCAATCACCGGGTTCCGCTACGAACTTGGAATCACCGCAGATGCACGTCAACGTCATCGGCAGTCCGCTCGGCTCACCGCAGGTAAGTCCGCAATAATCTGCATAAATGTATGAGGAGCGCGCATAAGTAGCGCTTCGACGAAACCCGCATGTCTAGAATAAGTAAAACAAGGCGTTGAAGTCTTACGCGAGCGATTGCAGTTTATCACACTTCAAAAAAATGTGTAATATTACACACGCCATCCACGTAAAGATTTAAACTGAATTGCAGATTAAATACGACCGCAAATTAAAATACAGCGCAGTTCGTCTATTTTATCACTGTAGGTCAGATTTTCCGATTTTTTTCTAAAATGAATAAACTATGATTGCACACTTTTATAAATCTTTTTATACGTTGAATATTACTTGTTTTGTCTATTATATCAATTTACTTATTTGATAGTGATATTAATTTTCTTTATATTAATTGTGAGAATTGTCAGAATTTATATTTTGAATAACACACATACATGTAAAAATAAAAGAATACACACACACACACACACACACACACACACACACACACACACACACACAAAACTTGTAATAACAGGTTTAAATATTTAAAACTGAGTTTACCCAACATACCACATTGTTTCACTCATAAAACACCTATTATCATGTTTGACGAGTCTCATAAAATATTCAAATAGCTACCTGACAGCTAGTATAAGTTTATGTAGCGGTTGCCACTTACTCCTCCGTGACTAAATACAAATACGAAACGAATTCTCGGCAGATGATTCAGTTAATCACCTTCCTTCGCAGGTTGCATCGACATATCGTGTGCCGCAAACGTTATCTTCCTCATCCTCGTCCAACCAATCTTACAGCGACGTATCCAGCCCGAATTATCAGACAGCCCTTAATTATCAGACTGAGGAACAGCTTGGCGAATCACTTTCCGGTTGGAAAGGTATCTACGAGTCTTCGGGAACGATAGTCAATAGCAGTGATACAATCGACTGCGCGTTGCTCCAACTCGTAGAGCAGGTCATAGAAGAGGACAAGCAAGGGAAAACATTGAAGGAGCCGCAGGTTGTCTCGAATACCTCTTGCTTCTCATCGGCCTATAACGACCGGTGTGCATCCGTACAAACATTGGGGAGTGATGTGAATCCTGTATCGCGCGAATGTCCTAGGAGCGGCATGCGAAGCGAAAAGCTGGAGGTTTGTTTGGGTATACCCAACACGGACCCCATCCAAGTTGGGGATCTGCCCATCAATAGCGATCTCGTATCGGTTTACGCGAGCAAGGGGAGCACCGGAGGATGTGCATTTGTGAATCGCGCGGTGAACGGTCACGCTACAAACATGGAACCAAGGTTCTACGAATCGCACGCGAAGAACAACCAGGTCGACACGTCAGTTGTGTTGCAGCACGATGCGAATACTCTGCACGAACTCGGACTGACCGATGAGACATCCGTGAAGACATCTGAACCGAACTTAAGGACGTCACAGAAGGAGTACACGATTTTCCATGCCGCCGGTGGAGAAAAGAGATATGATCAGCCACCGTCCACGTTTGTACCCAGCGATTATCAAATACCAACGATGGTCTCCTCGTTTGTACCCAATCCACAGAGGTAAACTTAATAAAATGATTGTGAGGAAAATATAAAAATAAAGTAAACGAGCGAGAGAGATGACAGTAGTTCGAAATAAATTGTATAAACTAAGTCTGAACCTAAATCGATATTCAAAGTTTTTCGTGAAATTGGAAAAAAAATGATATATCTTTTTCAAAACAAAGCTTCTCTTTCCTCGAAGACAAAATTAGTTTCAGTGTTTATGATTCTAGATATGTTTTAATCACGTGCTTGCAAATGTAAAAAAAAAAGAAACATATGTTCTCTATTTCCACGAAATTATGTAATCAAAATTGATGGCAGATATCGCAACGAAACGGATGATAACGAGAAATGTTGCGATAAATCAGCCGTTTAAGTTAAGTCAATGGCATATTTATGTTTCCGGTATCTTTAAGCAATTAGAAAATACGAATCTAAGTATAAATCAAATGTAGCAATCTCATGCGTATTAAAACATGTTTTTTAAATAAATTTAATTTCTCAATATAATTTTAATTTGCGCAAATAAACTGCTTTTTAAATCAAGTTATAAAAGTTTTGAATACTGTCATTTTTCTATGCACTCCTGTTAAAATAATACAGCTTTCGCACGAATGAGTGATAAGAAGTGTGGTTAACGACCCCAATTGCCACGACAGGAACTTGAATCGAGGTATAATACCGTGGCCTTCGTTAAACTTACCGTCTGTAAGAGCAAGTGAGAGGCTGAAGGAAGGATTACATCCTAAGGAAGTGGAAAGAGCCATGAGTAATCTGCTGAAAAAGTCCATAGAGGAACTAGCAGCCACAGATGAGGATGGTGACACGTAAGTAACTCGTTTTATTTTATTAATAATATTAAATGAACTTGTTTTGCTTTGAATTTAATAGACGAGTATAAAAAAAGTGTACATTATATCGCATATAAATAAATACATTAACTGATGCTGCTAAATCTTCTTTTGATATAGCAATATTGTTAATATAATAAAAACTAATTAATGTTGAACTTTTGAAAAGGAGAAATAGCAATAAAAACTGTTTCTCTTTTCTCAAATTTTCCTTTTTATCTCTTTTATGCTAAAATATTTGCGTATAATAGAGCGCTAATGTGCCTGGTGGGCAACCCAGAGGAATTAACAAAGAAAAAAGCTTATTTGGTGCCATTGGTCGAAAGATTGGGCAACTTGCCGAGTGCTCTATCAATTGTGAATAATCGCAACGAGGATGCTTTGTACTTAGCCGCTATGAATTGTCCGGAAATGCCGTATGTCACCGGATATCTAGCTGCTGCAATGATACAGAAAGGGATCGATATTAACCAAACATTATATCATATGCACGTAAGTTTTCTTATGATTCTTCTACGTGAAAATGGTCGTTTTTGTACAATTTATTAAGGCACTCTAATATAATAATTGGTCACGCGTTTGCATTTTAATTAAATATATATTACATTCGTGGACAAATCTTTAAACGAAATAATTCCTATTATATAGAAAAGATTCTCTCTTATTTCAGCGAATTATTCGTTAATAAATACATTTCTGAATGACTAATTGCAATTCATGTAATCGCTGAATATTTACACGACGTATGATGATCGCTTTGAAACAAGAACAAGCATATAATCATGGTTAAACAAGAGACATTAAAGATAATTTCATACGGACAATTTTTTTTATCGTCATTTCTATTATTTCAGGGCGACACGCTGATACATTCAGTTGTAGCACGCGGCGATTCTCACGGGGAGGTCTTGGCGGAACTGTTAACATTGAAAACGGTGCAAGGAAATCCCGTGTTCGATTTATCGAGGTGTAATTATGATGGTTAGTTAAACAGGAATGAGATTAAGAAACATGAAATTGGACAAAAATCCGATACAAGAATAAAAATACGTATGCATTTCAGGGAGAACCGCTCTTCACATCGCAGTTGAATCGCACGATCCTTTCGGACGAGGCGTCAAATCCTTGGGCATAACGGATCTTCTCTTGAAAAATGGAGCAAATATCAAAATCAAAGAAAGCAAATGCGGCGATACTGCTTTACATATGGCAGCCTCATTGAGTTGCGATCCTGCACTCGTGAAGGTAATCCACCTGAGGGATTTTCCAGCTTTGCGCGTCAATTACCCATGAAATTGTGAAGTTATCCGTGTAATAATCGGTTCATTGGATAAAATGATATTTATACGTCTGCAACGTATATCACTTCTTGGAATTAAAAAGAAATGCTACAAATATCGATATGAGAAACCTTGTGAGATTCTTAGAAAATAAGAAGAAGATATAATATCGAGAATAACAGCAAACATTGTTTTGAAACATTGAATAGTTTTTCAACTTTAAAATCCCAAGAGATTTTCCAAATTAATTCTAATGCATGTAAATAGATTTATTTTCCAATTAATTTCAAATGAGTTTTAATTAATGAGCAATTTATAATTTAAATGCTATTAAGATGGCATATTGTTTATTAATATTAAATATTGATAAAATAAATTTAATTATATAAAATATTCAAAATTTATAAAGACTATCAAAATTTTATTAAAAGAAGAAGATTTAATTCTAAATTTGCTCAAAGATCTTATAGTTAGAAAAAAATGCGCATCTTCTGAAACATATTGCGTGATAATTCGAATGTTTTGTGATTAAACATGAACTGCTCACTCATTTCTTATCTCTTTTTTTCATGTCTCGACTAGTGGATAAAATCGGTAGAAAGATCCACCAATCAGAGATGGCTATAGAAAGTAAGAAGTTGAAAGCAAGAAGTAATTGATCCATTCACTCTTATTCACCCAGAATTCCGCGCGATAATCTTTGACATGCAGTCGACAGTGTTATCAATTTGATTACAAATAACAAAACAAGTTATATTAGGCGTTAATAAAATCAATTTTGACACGTTTTTCTCAACCACATTTAGATATTATATAACACGTAAGATAATTGTCTCTTTTTTGAAAGGAGTTGCAACATCCGCCGTTGTTTTTCATTTTATCCTGTATTTAATAATATTCCATACAGAAAGTTATCTCTTTCTCTCTTATAAACACAATTTTTCTAACAAGATGTCGCACTCAGTTTCTTGTCCCGCAAAAATCAATGATTTCATCAAACAAACAAACAAGCTAATTATTTACAAACAGATAAAAAATAAAAGAGATGCAAATATGTAGACAAAAGATATAATGTTTTTAAAAATAAATTGTAGATTAGGATAAATCCTTAACACACATTATTAAACACACTGGTGATTCATTTGATATGCAGTCTTCCTCTCAAGATTAAATTCTACTCATGACATTGTTGATTTCTATTTACGCAAATTATGCTGAAACTTTTCGCATTTTCGTAGGTATTGCTGCGCAAGGCTACTTCGAATGTTGTGAACGAGATCAACTACATGTATAACACACCGTTGCACATGGCCGCGGCGGTTTCGAATAATGTAGACTTGGAAAAGCAGAAAGATGTCTGTCGACTTTTAATACAAGCTGGAGGCCAGACGAACATACAGAATCGGCAAGGAAAGACGCCGTTGGCGCTCGTATTGACAGAAAGAAAAGAAGCCATCAAGAGGATATTTTACAAAAAAGCGTGATAATGATAAAAAAGACATTGAAATAAATCCGATGATGGGTTTTATATAAGACTGATTTCTGCGGAAGTATTTAGGAACACTCCTTGATGGTTTCCGCTCCATTTTGTGAACTGATTGCAATAGGACTCGCGACGTTCATCACGAGCAAACCTTCAAGACTATGACTCAAGCCAGCAAGGAGGATCAACAATACATACAATATTATTAATCGCATGAAATTATTAGGGAAATTGTAATCCCGAGTTGAGCGAGTCGTTAAGGAGAAAATGTAATTTACTAGAATCTTCGTATTTGTAATGTCTAT